AATGCCATTATAGGACTTATATACTGTAGTTGTATTTGCATATACATGTATAAGGATGTTCACTGAGCCTTCATTTATAATGAGTAAAACCTAAAAGTCAACTGAATTATTCATCAATAAGTGACTAATAAATAATGTAACCACAAAATATAACCGTACTATACAGATGTTAAAGATTGAGACATATTTATATGTACAAATCCTTATTAAAACAATATGCTTTTTCTTATTATGGGATAGTTATTTGGTTTAAGGGGTAAAGAATGTTAGTTCGATGTATAATATTTTTAACTCTGAATTTTTTTTCCAAAGTATAAACACTTAAATGCCATACAAAAGTTAAGATGTTTTCCAGACTAGTAAACCGGTAAAGCTTGTTTGATGCAATTGAAAGATTCTCAGTAATCATTATTGGTCTGAGACCATCCAAAGCTATAACTCCTTCTTTCCCTGATTTTTGGATTCTTCAATATAGAAGAAGTTTATAAAAGACTAGTTAAACCAAATCTGCCACAAGTGTTCATATCTTGTATGAAAAAAAAATTTCAAGACTTGTGGAGATACAAGATAGGGAAATTAGAGATCGCACATGTAAAAAAAAAATGTTACATCTAATTAGCTTTTGGATTTAATGCATAGTAACCAAAAGTGGCACAATAGATGACTGGTTACCTGAAACCAGAAAGGTAGCATATAGAAGACTTAATGGGCCTGACCTAAAATTCATATGTAGGCCTGTCTGTGGTGGCACACATTGCTAAGTGGCCATGCTCCGTAGGATGAAACCACATGGGAGGCCTGGATTTGATTTCTGGTCCACCTAAAAGTCAGAGGTAGTAGCATGTGTTTGTAAACCCAATGTTTCCAGTGACATAGGCTGAAGCAGGAGGATTGGGAGCTTGAGGCTAGCCTGGGAAAAATACTGAAATCTTGTCTGAAAGAGCATGTGCCTGTGGTTCAAGTTACTTGGGAGACAAAGGCAGAATTGTGACACAGTGAGACCCTGTCTTTGAATAAGAAAGGCCCAGCCCCAGTGGTGCAGCAATAGCATGCAGTTCCACAATGCTGGAGCCATATGGAAGATTGGGGTTCAGTTCCTGGGTTGACCTGTGCATGCTGGGCACATGTGCCCATGATCCTGTCTGGTTGAAAAGGCTCGAGAGAATCATGATATGAGACCCTGTTAGGGGTGCATATCTCCGTCTCAGTAAACAACAACAATGAAAAATTCACTAATGAAGTTGTAAATCCTGATTATAGAGTTAGTTCTGAGCTTCGATTCTCCAGTGAGATAAAACCAATAGGAGATAGATGGAGGAGAAGGAAATTATTAGGGGAATTGCCATATATGATTATTGAACCTGAGAAATCTCATGATAAGCAGACTGCAAGCTAGAGTACTAGGGAAGCTAGTTGCATGGCTGGGTTCAAGTCAAAAAGACTCAGAACTAGACTAATTCTCAGTCTGAGGTCAAAGGCCTGAGAAGTGGGAGATCCACTAATTTAAATCTTGGAGTCCAAAGGCTGGAGAACCTAGAGTTCTGAGGCCCAGGGGCAGGAGAAGGGTGTCTCAGCTCTAAAAGACAATTTGCTTTTCCTCTGCCTTTTTATTCTATCTTGGCTCTCATCCAATTAGATGGTACTCACATTGAGGGAGGGCAGGTCTTTCTTACTCATTCCACTTATTTAAATGCTAATCTCTTTTGGAAACATCCTCACAGACAGTCAGAAATAATTAATGCTTTCCCAACTATTTTAAGTATCTCTCAATCCAGTCAAATTAACAGCTAAATTAACTGTCACAGCTAGCATCTGAAAACTTGCATTGGGAGGTATTCCCATCACTCTTATTAGTAAGAGTGACTCATTGTGCCTAAACTGTTTGTACAAACAATGTGGTTTTTGCTGAGTACTTTCCTCTGGGAGTCTGGAATTTTGGTATGCGCCAGGGAGAAGGTGTGTACATTATCAGTCCTGGACACTAGGTCTGGCCTCATAACCTAGTGACTAAGGAAACTAGATCTCACATGGTTGACATCATAGTTCAGATCTCAGCTCCAGTGTCTTGAAATGCACCTGCATGCATGCACACAGGAAAAAACCGGGCCAGCAGATGGCACAGTGGTTAAGGTGCTAGACTCCAATATGGCCGAATGTGATTTGAGGCCCAGATTTGAAGCTTGTTTTCTCACTTTCTCGTTTTCTCTCTCTCTCTGGTGAGTGCACGTTCCCTGTAGCAAATTAAAAAATAACAACAATAGTAATAACAATAACAACAACAACAAACTCAAACTCTGGGCATTGAGTCTCTGATGAGCTTTTCTGGTAGGCTGTATTTCACATGTGTTGTCACAGCTCATCACTGGTGGAAATAAGTATGTCATATGTGTCCCTAGTGGGAAAAGACGTCTAGATGCTTGTGCATTGTCTTCTCTGGGCTTTGCCCATGGCCTTTTCTCTTTGGTAACTTTGTTTCCTTTCTTTCACTATAATAAATCATTGTCATGAGTGTGACTATATTTTGAGTACTGTGAGTCCTACTAAATCATTGAGCCTGAGGATGATCTTGGGGATCTTCCAACACAGGTAGCTTTTTAATTACTTTTAGAAAATATATTCCTTTGTTGATTAGGACAGAGACATAACAGCTTAAACAAAAAGTAGGAATATATGAATAGTCTTAATCTGTGTAAAATTAGCATATTGAATACAGAGGAAATTTAAAGTGTGTAGGATTCTGTTTATCTTAACTTTCTCAAGTAATATTTATAAGAAGGGACTTTTTTTTTTTTTCTTTTCTGAAAAGAGAGATTGTTGCCATAGGGTACATGTGCTTACTAGAAACAGAGACAGAGAGATAGAAAGTGAGAAATCACCCCCCAGGGAAGATAGCCACACCGCAACCCCTTCTCCTCCATTCTCCATTTGCATTCATGCACACGTGCCCGGCATGAGTTTCAAGCCACCAGGTCTGAAACTTGAACCACACTTGACCATGTGGGAGTCCAGCACCTTAACCACTATGTCACCTGCTAGCCCCAATATAAGAAGAGTCTTTAACAATGCATACCCAGGGGGTTGCAGGTAGAGTGGTGGTTAGGGTGCTGAACTCCCACATAGTCAACCGCAGTTGGAGTCCTGGACCCAGAGGCTTGTTTTCTCACTTTTTCTCTCTCTGGTATGTATGTATGTATGTATATATGTATAAATAAAAAAGTAAATAAGTAAGTAAATAAATAAATAAATAAGAAATAGCATAATTCTAAATTTTAAAAAATGCATGCCCATATTTAGAACTTGATCTCTTTGAAAATGAGCAGTGAAAGTAAAAATGAATATAGCTTTGTATCTTGACTGACTGTCACTATGAATTTCTTTAATAGGTGGTTACAAAGGTTTAAATGAAGAAGTAATAACAGGCTCTGGAAAGAGTAAGTTTTACTTTGGATAAAGTATTTGATTTTTATGTGAGAGTTTTTTTTAAATTTATGTTCTTTTATACATTCAATCACGTTTATTTAGCATACAAAGTGAATATTCCAACATGATAGGGCACAAGGCAAGCCTCTACAGATTATGTGAGAGTTTTTGATCTTCAGTTTTTAAAAAGGTTTCTCTCTTTTTGGTTTGATTCCCTTTAAGATTCTTTGAAGTCAGAAGCTGAAGGAGGAGAAGGTAGTGACCTTCAAGGTATGTTAACATTTGCGTGATCCATGTGAAGGTATATTACATTTTAATAACATGCAAAATATTTAAAAGCAGAGTTAATTTTTAAGAATTTGAACAGTGAACACTTCAATGGTAAGCAGTGGGATGTTCTACGGTATTTAAAATTTGTGTCAGTTTTTCTCTATTTCCTCTTTGATTCTTCTAGTCTATGTAATATAAATTATGTTTTTTATGTAAATTCCAAGGACCAAAAGTGACCTACATACCCCCTCCTCCACCTGAAGATGAGGACTCCATCTTTGCACATTATCAGACAGGCATAAACTTTGACAAATATGACACTATTCTTGTAGAAGTGTCTGGACATGATGCTCCACCAGCAATTCTGGTCAGTGTATTAACTACTTTGTATTGATCGTGTAGAAAACTTTGATTTAAAAATATATAGTACTTTAAGTTTATACCAGCCCAGAAATTTCACCTTTAGTTTCTGATGTCTTAGTTTGGGAGTTTAGGACCATATCTGCCACCTATAGTATAGTTAATTGCTTCGTCAAGAGAGAGAGTATAGATTTCATCTCCACTCCCTATTCTAGGATGAGAACTTCATTTAAATTTACTACAAAGGATACTTTCCCTAGAGATTCAAGATATATGAGAAACAATGTTTGTTAAGGGGGTGATTTTATTTTTTTAAATGTTGGGGGCCTCGGGACCAGCAATTAGCGTAATGGCTATGTTGCTGAACTCCCACGTACTCGACTGCGGTTTGCGTCCCGGACCCGGTGGCTTAAAACTCATGCTGGGTGCGTGTGCGTGCGTGCCCAAGAACCTGAGAGGAGAATGGAGGAGAAGGGGATTACGGTGGGGCCATCCCCCCTGGGGGGTGATTTCTCACTTTCTGTCTCTCTCTCTCTCTCTCTTTCTGGCGAGCATATGCGTCCTATCGCAGAAACCTCTCAAAAAAACAAAAAAGTTGGGAGCCTCTCTGTCCCCTGTTGGTAATTATAATAACCATTATTACTGATCAGGGTTTTTCATACCTCACAAATGTTAAAGGGCCATGGGAAAAAAATTTAGAATTATCTTCTGTGGGGAAATACTTCCAAATTCCATCAAGTCATTATGTATAGACTCTAGACATTTACTTTTGAGCAAGGGCATATTGGTAAAGTAACTTTATTTAGTATATTAAGTAAGATTAGCAAAACTTGAAAGTAGTCAAATGGAATATGTTTATGATATCATCTATGTACAATATATACATTTTTTTTGAGAGGTTTTCGCTATAGGGCGCGTGCGCTCGCCAGACAGACAGAGAGAGACATAGAGACAGAAAGCGAGAAATCGCCCCCCAGGGGGGGTGGTCACGCCACAATCCCTTCTCCTCCATTCTCCTCTTGGGATCTTGGGCGTGCACGCACACGCGCCCGGCGTGAGTTTTAAGCCACCGGGTCCGGGATGCGAACTGCAGTTGACTATGTGGGAATCCAGCGACATAGCCATTATGCTAACTGCTGGTTCCCTACAATATATAAAATTTAATCATTGCCTTTTATTTTTGTTTTTAGACTTTTGAAGAAGCTAATCTCTGTCAGACACTAAATAACAACATTGCTAAAGCTGGTTATACTAAGCTTACTCCTGTGCAAAAATACAGTATTCCTATTATATTAGCAGGACGAGATTTGATGGCTTGTGCTCAGACAGGGTCTGGGAAAACCGTAAGTCACTTTTCAAATGTATTCTCCATATCTAGATTCTGTATTTTATGAACTTTCATCCTTTCTAAAGAGGCTTAATCTCTTTTCTTGGGTATTAGGCTTATAGATGATTTCAAAAAACTGTCATAAATCTTTGTGTGTTTGCTTCTGATTTCTTGTTTTATTGGAGTTTGTGCATTTCTGAAGAAAGAACTATTTCTAGGGTGGTTGTAGTCTGTAGATGTTTAATCTATTTATAAGTGTGTTCAACTCTATGGAACGTGGTAGTAGCTAAAACAAAATGACTGATGGTCAAAGTACCAGAGATGGTAAAGCATTGAAAGAGAAAATAATTTCTATAATGTAACTGGTACAGTCTTGAAGTCAAAAGAAAAAGAATGAGAAACAGTTTGTACATTGTATGTGGTCCTTTGTATGAAGTGACCTCAGGTTATGTTAATTCTAGAAGAAATCTGATGAGACCAAGTTGACTTTAGGACTAATCTGCACTGTGTGTGTGTGTGTGTGTGTGTGTGTGTGTGTGTGTGTATATATATATATATGGGGGGTCTTTTAAATAGTTCCACTTAATGAGATTAAAGTTTCTAGGATTATAGAGTAGTACTGGTTCATACCTTTCAGTCTTTATCAGTCTCCATATTAGAATTGAAGGGAAAATAAGTGTTGTATAATATTGTAGCTGACAAGTGACTTCAACATCATTTTGGGGATAGATTTTAGTAAGTCTTCTTTGCTTAAATGAGAAAACAAAGGGGAATGCAGAATCTTTGGTGGTGATGGATATGTACACTGTTTAGGTTTTGGCTATAGTTTCACAGAAGTATACATATGTCAAAACTTAGCAAATTTTCCACTTTTAATATGTGCAGTTTAGGAGACCAGCAGTAATGGCTATGTCGCTGGACTCCCATGTAGTCGACTGCGGCTAGAGTCCCGGACTTGGTGGCTTAAACTCACACTGGGCGTGTGTGCGTGCATGCCCATGATCCCAGGAGGAGAAGGGAGGAGAAGGGATTGCGGCGTGGCTATCCCCCCTGGGGAGTGATTTCTCGCTTTCTGTCTGTCTATGGCGAGCGCACAAGCCCTATAGCAAAAACCTCTCAAATAAATAAATAAATAAATTTGGCTAAAAAAAAAATGTGCAATTTATTATATGTCCGTTAAATCTCAACAAAAGGAAAATGAATCTTGCCAGATGCAACTTCAATAAGGGTGGTGTGTCATAATAATTCAAATGATTTCTAAATCTTTGCTCTTCCTGTGGACTACTTTTGTTATGCATTCCATGCGATAAATTTATTACCACTCCCAAAATTATTTTATTGCTACTTGATTTAGATAATTTTATTACTACCTCATTTAGAATAACTGTTAAATGTACTGATTCGTATAAAATTATATCCAGTCTCCTCTGTAAATTAGTTAGTGTTATTGTTATATTTAGAATCCATAGGTGTGCTTTCTTCCCCTTTATGATAGAGTGTGAGTGTGTGGGCAGACACACACACACACACACACACACACACACACACCCTCTCACACACTCTCCATGGGATCTGGTCATACCATGATCCCTGTCCTCTAGTCCTCTAGCCTTTTGGGTCTTGGGTGTTTGTATATGTGCCTGGTATGTTTACTTTTTTTTTTTTTTTTTAAATACTGAAAAATATTTTGATAGGGTAGTTTAATTTTATCACACATTTTATATTGTTCAATATGAGCACAAAGACCTAAATGTTAAGAATATAAACACAAACACTCTCATACATATATTTTTTGTGAAAAAATACATTTTATTATAAAATCTCTCAATCATCATTGACTATATAACTGACCAGTTCATGGTGCACATGCCAGTTAGGTTCCATTTGGATAGATGAGGAGTTCCCAGGTTTTCTTGTGGCTGGTAGGTCCACTGCTATTATTGACAAGAGCCCTATGGTGGCTGAAATGCCGTGGAGGGGTACACAGCTCCGGGTGTTGTATTTGGTCTGATCCATGGAAGCTGGGCAAGATGTCAGAGGAGCTGCTGCCCAAAAACATGAGTCTGTGGCTCACTTTCAACAGCAACCATTGAGAGGCACTGTATGTCCATGTGCCATTGTCTCATTTGTGGGTCTAATATTCATTCATACCTTCTCAGTCTGTTAGAAGTCAGCTTTGTGTAAAATGTGAAAAGCAGCTACAGAAACACTGCCAGCATGAGGAGAAATGCCATGTCATTGAGAAGCTTACTAGCACCTTCCCTCTGTGTTCTTGAACCAGGAAAGTAAATTCCCATGTATGTTCTTGAACCTTTCGTTAGTTCTTGAACCAGGTAAGTTAATTCCTCTGTCAGCGTTGAGTTGGTACTGTTGGCCTTTTTGTACATGTTGATAAAGCTGGTTATGTTGACAGACTCTGTCTTTAGCCTGACAGTCTCCAAAGGTGATTCAGTCTCCACAAGTAGAAGAACTTGTATTATTTTTATTTCCCTTTTAAAATTTACTGGGAAGATTGAAGAATAAAGGCTGTAAGGGCATAATAAATAGCTTTATTTAGAGACAAAGGTAATTTGGTATGAATTTGTAAATGAGACCATTTAATTTCTAGGCGGCTTTTCTCTTGCCAATTTTGGCTCATATGATGCGTGATGGAATAACTGCCAGTCGTTTTAAAGAGTTGCAGGAACCGGAGTGTATTATTGTAGCACCAACTCGAGAATTGATCAACCAGATTTATTTGGAAGCCAGAAAATTTTCTTTTGGGTAAGTATATCTGGACTACTACTCACAAAATATGGGGTTGTCAGGAAAGTCATGGCACATTTTTGCTAAAAAAAAATATGTCATGACTTTCCAGATGACCTAATAATTTTTCTTTAGAGATTTTTTCCCCCTTATTTTGGAAGAATTGAGTCATAATTCATGTGACTTTTAGCATTACTTGACTGAAGTATATTCTTCCATAATCTTGTTCCCATGACTTTTTATTTTTAAAAGAAATATGCTTATTAAAAATTAACAGAGGTATAAGAAAGAAAAATTATCACATTTGCATATTTTAAAAAAGAGAATTATTTATTTATTTAATTAATTTTAATTTGATCAGGGACAGACAGAGAGAAAGAAAATGAGAAAGCAAGCCACCAGGCCTGAGACTCAAACTTTGGTTGGACATGTGTGAGTCCAGCACTTTAACTATCATGCCGTTGCCAGCTCCAAATTTTTTTTTTTAATGCATGCTTAAAAATGAATTTGGTATATTTCTAATAATTTTCTCTTCTTTTACATGTAGCTTAGTCATGTGTAAAACTGCTTATTGTGTATTATGACTTAATTTTTAATGACTTTAAAATTTTATGTGTCAGGACCAGCAGATGGCTTAGTGGTTACATCACTGGACTCCCACATGGCTGACCATGGTTTTAGTCTAGACCCAGGGGCTTAAAACTCAGTTAAGCACGTGTGTATGTCAGGAGGAGACTGGAAGAGGAGGGATTGCAGCGTGGCCATTTCCTCTCTGGAGGAAGGGGTGTTGATTTCTCACCTTCCCTCTTACTGTCTCTGTCTCTTTCTCCAGCAAGTGTATACACCTTATAGCTAAAACTTCTTAAATATTTTTTTATGTATTTATATTCTGTTTCCCTATTTTGGAACATTTTGATCCCTTCTGACTTGGGGCTATTGAAAGTAAAATTGTAATCAACATTTCACTACATAAAGTTTTTCTATTTTATCTTAAGTATCTCTTACAGTAGATTCTTGCCAGTTTCACTGTTAAAGAGCATGAACTTAAACCTTACACAATCATAACATTTAAACTAGCAGTATCTGAAAAGGCCAATTTCATGTGTCCTTTGCCAACATTTAATACTGTACTGGTTAATTGTTGCTACTAAACAATTATCATAAAACCCAGTTGCTAAAACAATACATACTTACTATCTCACAGTTTCTAGGGGTTAGGAATTGGGGAACAACTCAGCTGTGTATTTCTGACTTGGAGTCTTTGATGAGGTTGTAGGCAGGATGTCAGCCAAGAAATCAGTCAGAATTATTATAGTCATCTAAAAGCTTGACTAGACCACTCCAGAAGGTTGCTTGATTATCCTTAGCAAATGGCATTTCTCCTCCCTTCGATTGAGTGATCAATTAGAGAAAGCAGGAATGTGGCTGCAGTGGTTTTATGTGGATGATAAATTCAGAAAATGTGTGTGCAAAGATGGATATTTGTTGCAATATTGTTTTGGTAAACGACTAAAAAATACCTAAATGTCTGTTAATAGAAGACTGTTTAAATTAGAGTACATACAAAATTACTAGTTAATTATTGCATTACTTATTAAATACATAGTAACATTGGTAAGAATTACATTACTGAGTACTTAGTAAATGAATGCTATGTTGTGTTTTATACATATTTTATTCATTTACTTCTTGTGATAGTGGAAAACAAGCCATTTAAAACAGTTATTAATTTTATTTTTAAGAGCTTTTTTTTTTTTTTTTTTTGCTACAGGGCATGTATGCTTGCTGAAGACAGAGAGACGTAAAGAGAGAAAGTGAGAAATTATCTCCCGGTGGGATGACCAGGCTGCAATCTCTTCTCCTCTTTGGACTTTGGACACACACACACACACACACACACACACACACACACGCCCAACATGAGTTTCAAGCCTCTGGGTCCAGGACTTAAATAGTGTCGGCCTTGTGGGAGTCCAGTGCCTTAATTACTTTGCTACCTGCTGGCCCACAATTTATTTTTTAATAAAACATTTTTTTTTACACTTTTGAGCCCTAGTTCTTTTATTCTCCTTCAGTTTCATATGAATCATTGCAGATATAGTTGATGCACATGTATGCATTTTTAATTTTCTTTGACAGATGGTATCATATTAAACTCTTGGCACCTGAGGTTTTTTTTTTTTTTTTTTTTTTTACACTAAAATTTAAGTTTTACTCA